CCACGAACGACGGCACCATCTGCGGACTGAAAGAATGTCAGACATTCGTAACCTCAACGACTTACATATCAACAGCCTCATAGCAATCGACAACATAAGCATCAAACCAACATTCCAAAATAGATGTGGTCCCGGCGATATCGCCCGACCATACAGCCATAGACCCCCAGCGTTGCTCATCTGTAGCAAGGGAGACAGTGATTGTGTTCATGTGACGAAGTGCTACTGTGAAAAGAGCCAAAATATTTGCAATAAATCTTCCTCTTTGACCAGCGGGTAGGACCTGTTGTTGACGACTGGTGCAGAGCACTATCAACATGATGATTTTACTCTCTGCTGTATTGAATTGAAGAAAACCGTGAAGTGGTTGTTGGAGGCAACCACGAATACCCAGAGTACACACAAACAGACAGCATAGGATGAGGGACTGGTGAATGCTGGGAATGATGATACCTGATCAGAAGACGACCTCCTCATCCGACTGCGATGGGACTTCTCTAAATTTAGCCTAATTGGATACATAGTAAGAGGGATCAAAGCCAACCGATTTTCAGGCTGATTGTGCCGTGTGACACAAATACCTGTCCCTAATTTTTTGGGCATTGAATCCTAATTACTTATATGTTTCTATTTGTGCCAAGATTTCATCATCATCAAAGCTACTAGAGATCCTTCTGCACTATTCCGAATAGTCTATTCGTCGCCAATCGAGCTATTAGCACAATTAATGAGATGTTCATCAATTTGGATGCTCATTTTTTATTTTCTGACACTCCAGTGGCCAGCTGCGTGTGATGGCTACCAAAGTTGGTTTCGATTTACCACCAATCGCCTTCAACGTAGCCTCCTTGAGTAGTCCCCAATGCAAGGTGAAGAATGCAGAGCGAATGATTAAAACTGATTTCCCCCGGGGAAATTCCCCGGATTGAAAGATACTCATGCCGGACTCAAGTGGCCAAGGGCCGGATCAGGTACACGATCATACTCGTAAGCCAGCTGGTCAGGAATAACCGCGATAGGGTTCTCATCTGAACCATAGCAGAACTGAATAACTGGACGCCCATTCAACATCGACGTGCAGACTGCACCGTGCAGTCTATCAAGAGCATTTTCAAGTCTCTGCCGGGGAGGGATACATCACCGGTAATATGACGTAGCAGAGTCCGAAGCCCCTGTGCCCGTAAATGGTGTATCTTCTCACCTCGGCCACCTTCACAAGGGGAGTGTGTTGACATATATTCTACACACGCGCCGAGCTGCTGTTCGCACTTCTCGGCAAATCGAGGAGTCGAGCAGCTCAACACTTTCCACTTACCACCAAGTGAGAAGACGTCCAGAAAGGCCTTCCAATATGTTGGGTAGGACGGTAAGTTCTCGTCAGACTGCTGCCCGGAGACCCACAGACGGAGATAAGAACCACACACGCCTAGCTCTAGCTATCTGCCAAGTAGCACTGGAAGACGTAGATCATATACCGAGGCAGCAGTAGCATCCGGGCCACTGGCCCGGGGCCAGCATGACCGGTCTGGCGATGGCTAAAACGCATCTTCTACACACTGTGCTAGACCGAGGAACGATCGGTTTGTATACAACACAGCCATCGGGCTCTCCTGTAAGGAAGGCCAAAGCTCCCACAGTTATTGCTGAGTCAGCAATGCTGACAGAATATAGGGCCACATGGAGGTAAGGTACTGGGGTTACACAGTGGGACAGATATATATGTCACATGGCGCAATCCGGCTCAGCAACTCACTTCAGAATCGTGATCACTGAGTGTGAGTCAGAATCCTCGTTGGAATCATTTCCAGAATCGCATACTGAACTCCAATTTCGTATTCGTTGAACACATTCCCAGAATGATTCTGGCAGAATCACATTTCCACTTAGACTCAGAATCGCGAAAGAACCCTGTTCACGGTTGGTGCATTCAGCAGCCTAGTGACATTCAATACTGGTCTACTGGGGAGCACCCATTTCGCCACACGGTGTGACTCGCACCCCCAGTTGGTCTCACCCAGACGCTGCCTATGCATAAGGAAACGCTGACGAGCTGGAACAGCAATCCAGATAGCAATCCTAAAGAGAATAGTAAGGACAACTGTCGACTCGATAGTGCAGACCTCTATAAGTATCGTCACGAAAGTGGTAGGCCGCGATGTTCGATAACAACGGGCCGAGAACGCCACCAAGGGACACCTGCAGTACACTGAATGGTTACGCTAAACTCGTGATCCTTACTAGACTCGTAAGACTCCTCCAATTCACGGGATCCATTTGTTTTAATATCACCGGTATGGCCACGGTTTGAAATGGGTAAACGAAAACGTTAGTGAGCATCGTATTGAAGACAAGCATCTGGCAATGCAAAGCTGTCTCGACTGGTCGGAAGTGGCTTCCCACTCCAAGTAGTGGATCCTTTAATGCCCTGAGGCCCTCAATGAGTTGGTGTAAAAGGCCCAACCTATTCCGTCTAGACTTATGCGTTGGTTCACCTGCACAAACGATTTGATTAGATGGAGAGTTGACGGTGAATAAACAGCAACGGTTGTTGCTACCATGGACCCGCACGGAAGCTTTTACACTTGCGACCAGTAGGAACAATAGAATGCTGAAGGGAACTAAGACGGTGAAGTCATAGTATCTAAGGCGAATACAGATGAGGCGTATATCTGCAAAAGACCACCGACATTAGAAAAAAGCTGACACCGAACGGAGCAAGGTAACGGCCAATCTTGTCGCCTGTGAGTTCGAAGGAGTTCACTATTGGCAACTCTGAAGGTACCTCTACCACCTGGGGATAAGAACAATGAGGAGCAGTAGCAGAGTGCTTCCATAGGAGTCTCCTACCAAAGGAGGTAAGCTCTTGCCAATAGGACCAGAGAACGCCATGGCCACCCCTAGAGCTAGGTTAGTCATGGACAGGAATTGTGGTAACCCGGGAGAACCTGGCAAATAGCGATACAACTCGTCCGAGTGTGCACTTAGATCTACCTAGCCATAGGATTGCTATCACAAATGCTATTATAATGTCCATAATAACCTAATAGGTATCTCTGGACAGGAGGTGGGTATCAGGCTAGCCTTACATACGTCATCCTGGGCGGAGCGTTGTCAGTTAGTATACCTGCTACTTGTGATGATACTGTTCCTGAATGTAATGGAGTGTTAGTTCGTGTAGATGACTACTAGTAGACGTACGAGTTATATTCTGCCACATTTGTGAGTTAGCATAGCTTCTAGCCCCTACTGCTTCCAAGGTCTCATATCGTACTGCTGTGGCTAAAACAGTTATTGGAATAACCCTTCATGATGGTGATAGGGTTGGGCTCACTCAAAAACATGTGAACGGCTCTCGAGAGGAACTGAGCTGCTATGTAATGCTGACCATTGGAGCTTACTAGCTTTGACGATGATGATGATGATGCTTTCATATGCTTCGTTGCTAGGACGAATAAAACAAAGCCACTCCCCAAGCAATGAGTATGACATTCCCTCGCTTGGTCGAGGATACGTTAGTCGTGTTAGAGACAGATAAACGCATATGAGAAGTCTCGGGAAGAAGAAAGTAATCAATGACAACAACTCCATGAGGAATTCATGCTTG